GTAAATAATGCTTAAAAATAATCAAAAAGAACATTTACATTTGTCCACTTTTTAAATTCCTTGTGATCATTATCTACTGATTCATAGATGTCACTCAGAATCAGAGAGGTGGTATGCGGCAGATAGGGTTATAACCACGGAATATAAAAAATATATAACCTACATACATAAGCTTAGCTTGCTTATGTATGCTCTAAGGTTATAACTTTAAAACATGTTTGGGTTAAAATATTCATACCGGAGAAGCATGCTGTCGCTAATTCGCGTGCCAGTGTCCAGTGCTGACAACCCGCGCAACAGGCGCCTAGAACCACTATATTGTACGAGTTTACATTTTATAACAGTTACCATAATTATGTCCTCCAAACTGAAATTCGGTCACAGCAACCAGTCCTAACAGAGGCTAGCAATCTGTGATGATTAGGGAAGGAAGAGGAGAGTTGGGCAGTTGGAAGACATGGGCACCCCCTAGTAATTCCACTTCAATTGTAAAATTTATTTAATTTTTATGTTGGTTGTTCAGTTTACTCACTGACAAAACTGTTCATCGATAGACAATCTGTCATCTCGTTGAGTTGTCAAAGTTGGTAAGGTGCGCGTTAATGTATATATTTTATTGTGGTTTCGCAATAACTAATAGACGAACCAGTGAAGGTATGTATTTTATTTTATTTCTGTTGCATGTTTACTTACGTACTATATTAACCTGTGAGTCACGCTAAAATTCCTACCCAAAAAATTGAGAGGAAAATTAAGTTGAAAAAGTATGCAGAGGGAGCAATTGACAGTTATTTCAGCGTGGTTAGTTAGCGCATGCCCAATGCTCCCATTTATTTGTAATTTATATGGAAAAACAGTTTGTTTTACATAACGTGATTTAGTTAAAATGTTTAGATGATTTTATTTATGAAATTAATTAGAAAGATGCCGTTCAGATTTAAAAAGAAGGGTAAGCGACGCGAAATTCCGATATACGTGCCATAGAAGAAGTGTCAAAAGACGGTAAGGTAAAAACAACTGCTGATAAATTTGAAAACCCTAGAACAAACCATAAAAACTTGCAACGATATCTTAAACAACAATATGTAAAGGATTCATCATCCAGGTTTATATCTTCTATCTCGGTTTATATTATGGACATTGGGTGTTTTAAACATTATGTCCAAAATTCCCACAGGGGGTGCCCGAACTAAGGTTGCCTTTTTTTTAACAAATATAGTATTTCTCAAAAAAGATGCAAAATATAGTACTTTTGCGAAATTCAGGAAAAAAAGCACACATTTTTAACCTTTATATATATTTCCATATATAATTGTCATTGTTCTTCGCTTTTGCTATCAATAAACTAACAATTAATGTTTAATTGAATTAATACGTGCTCTATTTCTTTCTGCTTTCCATTTTACACTTACACTTACATTCAAGACGAAATTTTTTTCCCGTAAAGCTTACTTGTTCCAGTCTTCCAGTCACAGTTAATATAATAAAACACGACATTTGAATTAAGGATAAAAATATAGTATTTTTCGTACTATATTATTTTTCTATATTATATTGTACAATTGACTGAAATAAACTACGATACTATGTATTATAGTACGGATGGCAACCCTAGCCCAAACCTCCCTTCCAGGGAGATATGACATATTTCAGAAATATGTCAGCTTTGGGTACAGTTGACATATTTCTGAAATCCATTTGTAACTTTGAGACTGATTGTAATTGTTAGTCTTGTGTGGTGCAATTGAACTTGGCGATAAATATTGGATATATTAAGTGTGCTTTTTTATTAGGTACCTCTTATGTGAAAAAGTGCCCATCCATACCCTACCTCCTAGTGTCCAAGTACAGCCTAACAAGAATCTCATCATCTCGTTGTCAACGGGAAGTAATAAAAAACAAAGAGATATTTTATTCCACGCTTAAAAAACTTAAATAACTTAATCCGACAATTGGTTTTCAGAATATCGTCACGTAAGTTGTTATTGCTGATTTCTACATTTTGCGGGAAGGCGACGGCAAAGAAACATTTTAAAGTGTATAATTTTAATATTTCGATGGATTCTATTATTAAATATTTATTCGATTTTAAACTAACTCAACTATCCTATTGGAATGACATTAAAACCTATTTACATATTATGTGCAACTGATAGATATTTTGAATTTTTTGAACTTCTAGATTTTAAATTCTTGTTAGACTGCCGTTTTTTACCGCAATTTATTTGCAACGCGACAAGACAGACCTGCCGGACAGCTGCCGAATAACCAAAGAGTATAGTAACCTACTATACTCTTTGCTAAGACTACAATGTTATATAGGGGATAGTAACTGTCCTTATACAGCTAATAACTAGTGATGCAACGAATACGAATATTCGTATTCGCCGAATAGTAGACATTTACCGAATATTCGTATTCGGTGAATACTTGTCACGAATATTTTTGTACGCAACTATAATTACTGGCGGACTTCGATAACGCGCGTAAAAAATACGTGTCTTTTGGCCCTTAGCCTCAACGGACTCCCAAAAATATTTTTCACTGAAACTATGTACAGTCGCCTCGGAATGACTTTTTTCAACGGCTGGGAACATCCAAACTGAAAAAAGAAATTGGCTTAAACCAGAAAATCTACAATTTTATGTTTTTTAAACAAAAATTTGCCTATTGTAAATTTTAATTATTAGAACAATAGAAAATCATCAATTAAATTAGTTTTTTATTACCATGGCGAGATATTCGTACTTGTATTCGCCGAATAGTAGGTTTGAAATTCGTATTCGTAAAAGTAGTATTCGTTGCATCACTACTAATAACCGTTCAGGAGCGCTCCGCTTGCGTATCACCCCGCACGATTACCCCGTCTAGACGCCTCCGATGACTGACTAGTAGTATTTTTTTTTATAGTATATGGTGACAAACGAGCACACAGTCCACCTGATGGTAAGTGGTTACTGTGACCCATAGACATCTATCCTCAATAAAGACTCAAGATGCAGATGCGTTGTCACCCGTCAGGACTAAGATGGAATGCCTCCTTGCCAGTAAAAAGGGTCTCCGGTTCTCTACACTCACCATACGAAATACAGCAGCGCTAAGCTGCTATTTTACGCTGGTTTTCTGTGAGAGCGTGGTCCTTCTCCGGTCGAGCCGACCCATTCGTGCTACTACTAATATAGCTGCAGCATGGCTCTACCACGTAGTTAGACTGTGGCCCGAGCAAATGTGCAAGCACAGATGTAATCTTTCCACACACTCAGTCCGATTGCACAGCAATCCGAGGCACGGGTGTTAAACACCGCCACCATCCTTACTCCGAGCTAATGCTGAGAATTCCTTATCAGAGAAACCTAATAATTGTTTTTTTTTCGTCCCGGATTCAAATCGAGACTAAAGAAGCATTCTACCAGTTAAATATTACGGTCATCATTACAGCCCTTCCACAAGTCTACAGCTAAACATAGGCATCCCCCAAGGAATGCCACAAAGCACGGTCTTGAGCCATCTGCATTCATCGACTTCCTGCATGTCTTACCAGGTCCCGCGTTTACATTACAAACATTACGGTGCCGATCGGTAAATACAAGTATTTTCTACCGATTTCAAAAAGGAGACGGTACTAATCGGAGACTAACCGATTTCGATGATTCTATTTTCATTTGAAAGCAGCTGGTGCTACACATGTGGGCCCATATAAATTTGGTCCAGGTCTGACCAATAGTTATTGAGTTATTCTTAATAATCTATATTGAAGTAGGTTGTACAAAATTTTTAATTTTATATTATATTTATCAGATTTCTAGACATGCTGTTATATATGGAGTAATAGTTTTGTATACTATGATACAAAACTATTACTCAAATATAATACAAAAATATAATATACAAAACATTGAGACACTTAAAGAAAGGAGCATTTGCACTTAAAATTGTTTTATTTGTGTATTTTTTTATTTTCGTTGATAACACCTTATCCGGTTTTAATTTATGACAACTTAAAATATAAAAGTTAACGTAAATTGGGCTTATTTAAAAAAAAAAACGTACATATAATTACATCCAACTACAAAAACTTTAATCATCTTGCTGTTTTATTATATAAAAAAATAGCTAAAATAGAAACGACTAAAAAGTCCAGCGATTTTCCGAAATTCTTATAATAAATTTATTTGACACACAATTAATGACTAATGATGAAATGCGTTACTGAGAACTGATGAACGATAGAACAGGCCACAATTGCATGATAAAATTCACAAATTTCTATGCAGTTACAAGCTATTGTCTGAATTTGCATGAAATACACGTTTCTCGGGACTAGTTCATTAAAAAGAAAAAAAAAAAAACGAGAAAAAATAAAGCAGTCATGCTTAAGAAACAAGTATAGTAAATTCTCTTACAGAATAATAACAAAAACCTAATTATTACTTCCATACGTAGCTATAATGCATTATTATCTGTCATAATTTAAATTGGGATATTTATTGCGATCATTTCAAAAAATATTTACATTCTAATTATAATTTATTGGGCGAAAAGTTTTTATTGTATTGTATAAAATTGCTTTAATGAATGAAAAAAATGATAATTTTGAACGATGAAAACTACTTCTTAATGATATAAACTGTAGTACTAATTCGACAATATAATTTAAAAAAATAATTACAAAATTCCAACATAATTAAGTTTTATCTTAGGCCAGTTTTTGTATCTACATATGTTTATTTTCTCTCTGTATGTTTTTTTAAAATGAAAAAGCTATGTAATTAATATATTAAATACATAGCTTTACCATACCAATAAAGCAAATACAAATCTGAATTTATAATGAGAACACTAAACAACTTCATACAGATGAAATTTAAAAGTAAATAAATTATATTTTCTGTATAAATTACAGTATTTTAATTGTGTGAGAAACATTAATAACTTTGTATTTGATTGTGTTTATAAGTATAACCTTTTGCCACTAAACTTATATCAGGACTTTACTTAACCTAATATTGATTATATGGAACATTATCAATTGCGTGTTTCTTGAGCTTATGTTTCTTAAGATATTTGGAGTCTATAAATGCTTCACCGCACAACGAACAAATATATGGACGTTCACCGGTGTGAGTACGTAAATGTACCACCAAGTTACCTTTTAACGCAAAGAATTTCATACAAACTGAGCATCCAAATTTCTTTTCTCGAGTGTGAGTAAGCTGATGCGTTCTTAAATGTGTCTTTGTTTTAAACCGTAGAGAACATAGCTGGCAAGGAAAAGGCCTTTCATTTGTGTGAACCCGTTCATGCATTATTAACATTGCATGACTCGCACAGTTTTTACCACAAATGCTACATTCAAAACGCTTAGGATTTTTGCCTCGAGCATTCTTTCCTGAGTCTGTAAATTCATTTGGATCTACTATATGCGTACTCTCAACGTGCTGCTCTAATGCCGACTCTACAGAGAACATCTTTTTGCACAAGGAGCAAGCATAGCCCAAAACTTTACCAAGATTTGTCGTAACCTCTTGTTTGACTGTCTTCATTAACTCCTCTTTGGCTTTTACGACCCTGCTTTTGCTGCAATCATTTGACTCACGGTGAGCTGCCAAGGCTTCTTTATTGTCGAAAGTTTTATCGCATTGATTGCATGAGAATGCATTCATGTGAGTTAACCTATGTGTCTGCATGGTAATTTTCTGATGGAACCTCTTGAAACAAATGTCGCATTCAAACTCTCTTATATCACTGTGTATCATCATATGACGTTTCAAGTTGTTTTGATTGGCAAATGTTTTGTAGCATATCTTACAACGTGGTTTATTGGTGTGACCATACTTAATATGCTGAGTCAATGAATTCCGTCTAATAAGTTGATTGCAGAAAGGACATGTGACTAATGATCCCGTGACACTATGTAGAAGCATGTGACCAATCAATATTTCTGATGTCTCGAAACCCTTCCCGCATAAATTGCAGAGGTGTTCTCCTGCAGGATTATGTTTGTGTTGGTGTTTTTCATAATCTGCCAAGTACTGAAATTGTTCACCACAATCACATACCAAAGTGCCATCTTCTTGTTGCAGCACTGTTGTTATTTGACTATCATCTGCATATTCAATGACTAGTTCTGACCCCTCACATTTTAAAATTTGGAACTGAGATGAATCATCACCTTCACAAAAGATGACCTCTTCTTGTGATGTAGCTTCCCCATCTCCAGCAGAGACTATCTGTGGATTAGTTAAATATTTGATATTACCGTCGTCACTTTTGACCATTATTGTTCTTTCATTACCTGATGCTGTAAGTATTTTAATCAAGTTCGCATTTTTTGGCATTTGTTCAACAATATTGTTAATTGTTGCTTCACCAGAATTATTTTCCATATCAATGTGTCCCTGTGCTTCTATAATTTCTGGTAGGATTATTTCTTGAGATGTGTTCTCAGCATCTTCCATGTCCATACCGTGAAAGTTGTCGTCATTCTCTTGACTCTCCTCTTCGTTTTCAAGGATTGTAGCTGGAACATTGTCAGGAACTTTAGCATTTGTCAATAAAAAAGCTTGGAGGGAATTTTCAAAATCAGTATTATTTTGTTTTTCTTCTTCCTGATTTGAGTTTTCATTTTCACAGGGTATGTCATTTGAATTTTCAGATTTAATAATTGTATGTTGGGTTTCATCAGAATTTTCTTTTTCTTGGTCCTTCGGATCATCTATTACAAGCACATAATAGTAATCATCATCACTATCCATTGGTTCAGCCTTTATTATTTCCTGCAGTTGTTTCATTGGATCATCAGATACATTATTAACTTCTTCATTATTTACCTGAATTATCTGCGGTCCTAAACACTTTGTAGTATTTTCTTTATTTTGGGTTAGTGTACTTAATTGAACTTTTAACTCTTTATCCATCTTCATGCATTGTTTACGAAATAGGTAAGCTGAATTCAGGATCGAAAAACAATCTTTGCAAAGTTTTTGAGGTAGTCCATCATCTTCTTTTACCTGTAATTGTTTTCAGAAAATTATATAAGCAATATAATTAGATAAACCCTGTAGTGGTAACCGTGTTTTTTGTGGTGGTGTAAGAACATCCAATACCCAATAGTCCTTTGGTTGTCGTAAGAGGCTAAAGAGGAAAACTAAAACAGGAGATGGGGAGCATTATCCTAATAACAAACTCCAAATTATAAAAAGCTGCAGTTGTCAGCCGTGGTAACTATGGCGAAATCCCTCATATGAAGCAATCTATGAGGGAGGCTTTAGTTCATTATTTATAGTCTATATTTATTTAGCTCATACTCGCCTTAAATATAGTACTCAAGCGTCAAAGTAGCGTAAAATAGCAACTTAATGCTGCTGTGTTTCGTATGGTGAGAGTAGAAAACCATACAATACCCTTTTTACTGGAAAAGAGGCATTCCATCTTAGTCCTCACGGGTGACAACGCATCTGCACTTTGATTCGCAAACGAAGATAGATGTAGATGTCTATGGGCCACAGCAACCATTTACCATCAGGTGGACTGCGTGCTCGTTTGTCACCCTTATTGTATAAAAAAAGCAAATTTAGTTCAATCCTCAACTGCATTAATAAAAATTATAATTTTGTGTGCTGATTTACCTGTCATGTTGCAGAGCAATGCTGCAACATGTTAGGACTGCAGCATGAATACGCGCGACTATTTTTCTTCCCAGCAAGATATAAGCATATCTTGCTGGGAAGAAAAATAGCGACTCCACAATTTGAGCGAAAAAAGCATTACTATTGCTAAGATAACATTATATTTAGTTTCGTGATGTGATTAATAGTCCAACTCTTACATCAGCGAAGCCGACAGCCTTGGTCCTCGTGTATCCAACTTGGCACCCTTTTTACCTTTGTTTTTGGTGGGATATCATTAATTTTTTTAAAAACAGTTTATCTTTTTTTCTCTCAATAAATATATCAGAAGTTTTTATTGAGTTTACGCTTTACTGTTTTCTTTTTTTAAATTTAAATTACAAGAATTGAATTTCGCCGAATTTATTGCTGCGGTTAATTCCATACAGAGTACTTGGTGACTAATCGCATCAATAACTTCGACACTAAACAATACCGATAATTTGTAGTTATTAGATTTTTTATATGCGTAATGATATATATATATATAGTTATAAGTTTTAGTTATTTTTGTTTTGCTACGCTTAAGAAGTATAACTTCCTACATGCGTAAAAAGTACACACACAAGTTTTTTTTTATTAAATAGAATTCCAAGTATTAAACTATTTGGGTTCCCTACTTTAAAAGGATAAACGGAACCCTTATGGAGTCCTTTTGTTGTCTGTCAACACCATTTTCTATCAGGTAATTGGTATGAAGTTGAAATTAATATTAAATACTAAGTTACTAAGGTCTACAGCCCCTTAGAGGTGTAAACAATTGTTAAGTGTTAATGTTCTCTGACTTAGAATCATAAAAATTGGCAAGAAGCACAATTCCCACAATAATAATCCAAAATATCTAGTTCACGATCATGAGTAGACCAATGTATAGAACATATTTTTCACTGCAGATTATGCTTTTATCCGACTTATTCTGTTCAGGGCTTACATGACCTATAATTCTCAGGGAATGGATGAACTATCTACATGCATATTTAAGTTTATGCGGAACCCTAAGGGCACAAGGTCTACTCGCAGTTGTTATGTTGTCCAGTTATTATTTATATTACAAGATTTTAACTGAAATAATTGGTGGCTTATTTAACTTAATAATAATATAAAAAGTTGTAGCTTTGTAAACATTTTAGTCAAATGGTGGCTACCTTTTACACCATCATGAGAAATAATTTCACATCTTAATTCGAAGAAATAGGGCTTTACAATCTCAACAGGATTCATAGGCAGTATCCAGGTTTCAGTATCGTGGAGAGATCTCAAAAGCCGATTTCCACAATAATAGAATCTATGTAAAATTTAATTGATGATTTAATTAAAGTTAGCCTAGAAAAACACAGGCACTGTGTTAGCAATAGTGTACAAGTTATTGGAAAAAATTTAAGTAATGTCAACATTATGATAGGACAAATTTTTAATTAACGGTAACTTTATAAGCATATTAAAACAAAAAGTTATATATAAAAGCATGTTAAAATGAAAGAATATGTTGCCTCCAAAATTTGGAATGACATACTTCCTCAAAATTATTTCCTTTGAATATTTTCAAAATTATTTCCTTTGAAGATAGTAAATTCAAAATTATTTAGAAAGAAGTACAATGTATGGTTACTCAGCAACAAATGTTGTAGGCAGGTATTGAGTATTATATATAAATTAACCAACATCTAGCTGACCCGGTAAACATTACATTATTTCTAGAAAATATTTTTTAGTTTTAAAAATCGCGATTAACAAACAGGGGATGATTGTAGAAGGGTGAAAATTTGAAGTTTTATGTATTTTTCAATGCTTAATCATAATAAAACAAAAATAAAAAAATTGTCAAAAAAAATATAGGGGTGGGTCACCATTATCATTTAGGGGTTTGAAAAATAGACGATGGCCGATTGTCAGACCTACCCGATATGCACACAAAATTTAATACAAATCGGTTTAGCCGTTTCGGAGGAGTTTGGTAACAAACACCACGACATGAATTTTACATATTAGATTAACTAAAATTTACATAGCACATATGAAAATATATTTCAGAAAATGATTTATATTGTTTAATGTCAATGTAAATATTAAGTTCAGATACTGTGTCCTTAGTATATATTATAAATTTAAAAGTCGGCTATTACAGAATCATGGGCCACATTGTCTCATTACTTTTATTGTATATAGATGTATTATTATGTTAAGTTTGTGAAGATCATCTTTTGTAAATTTGACTTAACCATGTGTGGATTAAGACTACCATTTTCATCTGGTTTGTATATATTTTTTTATAGGATAAGGGTGACAAACGAGCACACAGTCCACCTGATGGTAAGTGCGGCCCATAGACATCTACATCTATCTTCGATTACGAATCAAAACGCAGATGCGCTGTCACCCGTGAGGACTAAGATAGAATGCCTCATTTCCAGTAAAAAGGGTCTCCGGTTCTCTACACTCACCATACGAAACACAGCAGCGTTAAGCTGCTATTTTACGCTGGTATTCCTTCCCCGGTCGAGCCGACACATTTGTGCTACAACCATAATGTAGCTGCAGCATGGCTCTACCACATATGATATTTATATATCTACACAAATAAATAATTTTGAAGTATCTGTTTGTAATGTCAAAATAACAGACTTTTACTAAATGCATATGAAAGTATATATGGTACTTATAACAAAAAACAATTATGGTTTTGTGCAAAAAAATCAAAACCCATGAAATCCAACTGCAATAAATTCCACACAGAGGAAGTTGCGGGGAACAGTATATTATGTATAAATATATATAAAATTGATAAATAGGGTAAAATAAATAAATATAAATACCCAACCCCAAAAATAAATACTCAACCCCAAACATAAATACCCAACTAGTTGGAAGCCCCCTTTACAGACTAATGGCTGAGGGTTATGGGAAAGGGAAAGCATCTAGCACAGCGGACCGTCACAGAGTCCTAGTCACCTCAGAATAAAGAGGCTGACCTCGTTAAACCAATTTGCAGAAACAACCACAGGAATAATTTCGGTCAGCAGACCACCCTACATATTGGTCAATTTGAGGTCCAGGTCCAGATATTTTGTTTGCTTAACTATTTTAGCTTTATTATTAGTACCCATTAATAATAATTTTCCTCACACCTATGGTACTAAGAATGCAGTAGTTTTCTCAATAAGTCTTCAGTTTATAATGAAAAAAAAAATATAAACAAGCAAAATCTGGTTTTAAGCTATACCTCTTTTTTTGTTGCATTCCTTTAAATATGTAAGTATCATAAGGATAACTTTTAAAACCTTTTTTAATATGATGAAAACAAAAAAAACTATAAAACTGTTAATTATAGAAGAAAATTATAACAGTACAGTGGTGGCATAAAAGAAATTGAGGTGTTTCTCAATTCAACTGTATGTTTTTTTAATAATGAAATAAACTGTGAGTTCATTTAACACTAAAGTGGAGTTCATTTAACACTAAAGTGATAAATGAACTCAATTCATTTGATGGTAAATGGCTGCTGCAGCTCATGGACACCTGCAGCCAACTTCAAACAGAAGGCTGCGGATGCATTGTTATTATTGATGATTAAGATGTAATGCCCTTTTGACCAAATCACAGCATTGCAGGCACAGCTACATGGACGTAGAAATATGTAAACCTATGTGGACGTGGTAGAAATTAAATCCATCGCCTTGAAATTTATTTTCACAGAATCAGCCATCTTACAGCAATGTTTCATACTTTCCATTACATTGGACAATTTATTTTAACAGATATTAGGAATACTATTTGAAATTTTAGGTGTATATAAATTTTAATTGATTGTATTTTGTTACCTATACATAAAAAAAAAAACAAAAGATTGTCGATTGTTGATAAGCAAAATATTATAGTTTAGTGATATTTCCCAAATACTAGGAAAACACATTTTGATTCCTATGGAAACTAAGAAAAGGATACAATGTGTTATTAGAAGACTCTTGCATATAAGATTATATGCAATGATTTATTATACCATTTATAAAGATTAGGAGCTGGTTATTTATTGTAAAATAAAATGAGATGTAATCTTTACCTGTACAGTGGTAATTTCAAAGAACTTTCTGTTTATATTTTGTATGGTATCAAATAATGACACTTCAGAATCAGGCGATAGACAGCAACGACACAAATTCGCCCAAGCTTCCATGTTAGAATACTTCATACATAATTAACCAATCTGATAAACCTGAAAAATATATTAATTGCTTATTTGGAATCATTGTTATGACAGGTGCTTGTAATTTGTATTTTGTAAGTAATCAAAGAGCACCAAAGCACAATATAGTAGCCAAAGAGTAAAAATTATCTACGGACCTTGCCCATAAAGACGATTTCTATTCTATTCCAAATTATAGACAACAAGACAGAGAGTAGAAAATGGCGGCACGGCATGCACGCGGAAAAGTAAAATCAAAGCGGAAATGCTTTGCTGTAATGACAGCTGACAATGTCAAAATAACCTTATTATTGTGGTAGTACTGGTTGACACGGAAGTGTTTTAAAATGCAGCGTAATAAATAAGCTTTAAGAAGTGTTATTATTAAATAAGAAAAAAGGTACATTTTAATTACAGGCTGCCATTTAATCGTGGTTATTTTTACTTTATATTTTATGCCTTTTATATAATACCGTCCATATATTGAACAAATGTAATTTTACCCCCTAGATATTAGTAGCAGTGTTGTATTAGCAGTTCATACAGGTTCGGAAAGATGGCGCTTTTATAATTTAATGTCTTTCCAGTAAAAATAAAAGAGAGGGAGAGCAACTTTAAGCATTTTTTTATATTTTTGAAGTGAAAATTTCTTTAGCGGCGTTGTGTACTTTTTTTGTAATGGGTAAAAAATGTTACACTCGCGTCAGGTCACGTGTCCTGATCGAAAATTCGTAAGACTGACGGAGAGTAGACAGCCGGAGCGGCGTAGTAGTATTATTCAGGTTAGGTTAGGTTTACTGTGGTCATAGATCAGACAATGATAAGTACATTTTTGCTCAGTATGACTTATTAATATAGGTATAATCGCCAAAAATGCTCTTTCATTTGGTCATATCAGTATAACTACATGCAAAATATTACTGTTGTATTGAATACTACTCAGATTATGACAACTTTTATATTTCAACTTTTGTTTTGGTCATATTGCGTTAAGTGATTTTATTTTATTTTGATCTGACCGATTTTATTGATCAGAATATGACAAAAGCACACTTATCAACTTATGATCAAAAATTACTCGGTTAGCGGGAAACATGTCATAACGTGTCGTGTCATTATTGTTTCGCGTACCGCACATTTTAGTTTATTGTTAGTTTTCGTTATTTCTGTACGAAAGTACGAAACCTATCCAATTGCAGAGAGGTGTAAGACAGGGTGACGTCATATTCCCGAAGCTCTTCACCGCTGCATTGGAAGACGTTTTCAAGATTCTGGACTGGAAAGGATACGGTATCAACATCAATGGCGAGTACATCACTCACCTTCGATTTGCCGACGATATAGTCCTTATGGCAGAATCGCTGGAGGACCTAAGCACTATGCTGAATGACCTCAATAGTGTTTCCCAACGGATAGGTCGAAAAGATGAACATGGACAAAACAAAGATCATGTTTAATATCCATGTCACACCTATGCCGGTAGTTGTTGACGAGTATATTTACCTGGGACAAATAGTCCGACTAGGTAAGTCCAACTTCGACCGAGAGGTCAATCGACGGATTCAACTCGGCTGGGCAGCGTTCGGGAAGCTACGACACATCTTCTCGTCAGACATACCTCAAAACCTTAAAACGAAATTGTACAACCAGTGCGTGTTGCCAGTGATGACTTACGGAACTGAGACGTGGTCCTTCACTGCTGGCCATATGAGGAAGCTCAAGGTCGCTCAGCGAGCTATGGAGAGGGCTATGCTCGGAGTTTCTCTGCGTGATAAACTTAGGAATGAGGATATCCGCAGTAGAACCAGAGTAACCGACATAGCCCAACGGATTAGTAAGCTGAAGTGGCAGTGGGCCGGCCATATAGCTCGAAGAACCGACAACCGATGGGGAAGAAAGGTTCTCGAGTGGCAGCCTCGTACCGGTAGGCGAAGTGTAGGGCGTCCCCCCACGAGATGGAGTGACGACCTGGTAAGCCATGCAGGAAGTCGGTGGATGCAGGTGGCTCAGGACCGTGCTTTGTGGTATTCCTTGGGGGAGGCCTATTTCAGCAGTGGACTTGTGAAGGGCTGTAATGAAAATGATAATGATTTCGTTATTTCGCCGGTAAAAAACATTAATATAGGTTATAATTACTGTTTAAATGAAATGATGAGTGATGAGTACATTTTTTTACTCACGTTGTTTTCTTCAACACTAAAGAACACTGGGATGTGTAGCAAGTTTTCAACTACGACTTAATTTATTTAATCAACCTAAGATATTCAAGAATGATTTGACAAACTATATTGGAAGCTTAATATGCTAGAGGATATTGTTTTTTAACTTATAGTGGAAACTTTTGTATTTTAGCATACTTTACATAATTTGAAAATATATCCAACAATAGAATTCAATATATTAGCTGTTAAGGTGCCCTTTCTTTTAAAGAAATGTGAAATAAATATATCCAATACATTTCTACTTTCAATTAACTTTGTACCTGAGCGAGAGACACAAAGACCTCAATAAAGTTAGTGAAGATTTTAATTAACGCCAGTTTTCTTGTATAATAAATAAAATGTCGATTTCTCTTGATTCATACGAATTTATCACTTTAAATTAAACCGAAATTTACACATTATTTCGTATTTAATTTTAAATTGATTTCGAGATTGAACATCACTGCATGAACAGTAAGTTTATTTTTATAGATTGGAACTGATGGTAAGTAGATATTGTGGCTTAAATAAGTGTATACTTACATCCATCCTCGATTAAGAGTCAAAATGAAGATCCGTTCTCACCCCTGAGAGCTATGATAAAATGCATGTTTACCAGTAAAAAGAGTTTCCGTTTCTCTACACTCGCCATACGAAATACAGCAGCATTAAGCTGTATTTTGTGAGAGCGTGGCCCTATCCCGGTGGAGCCGACCCATTCGTGCCACAACCATAATATAGCTACAGCGTGGCTCTACCATGCATACATTATGATAGATTGTAGTGAAAAGATGAATGATGATGATAATGATAATGAAATATAACGATGTATGTGCGCGTATAAAACGCGGTTGAAATATTAACACAATAGGCTTTAGAAAAAGACGATCGGCCAAAATCGTTTAACTTTGGCCCAACGAACCTGTATATTATTAAGAACATAGCTTTTAAAAGATGCTGAACTGTTAACACTTGAAACAGAAACTGTAGAGAAACGCAAACCCTTTTTACTGGAAACGAGGCATTCCATCTTAGTTCTCACGGGTGACAACGCATCCGCATTGTGATTCGTAATTGAGGATAAATGTAGATGTCATTTTATTTTGTTTATGCAATTTAAGAACGCTGTGTAAACCACTCTTTATATTTTTATTTTTATCTAAGACTAGTGAACCGCCACGGCTTCGCACGGGTTATTTCTAGATCTTGACAACAGCGCCACCTGCCGCGTCCAAATGTGCCAATCCTGAATCTAAACCATCCAGGGGGTCCCTCAACTTCAGGTCTTCAACTCAACAGCTCAACACACAAAATTTTCATCAGAATCGGTAGAGCCAGTTTCGAGTTTTTGCGAGACTAACGGACAGCAATTGATTTTTATATATAAACATAACGAGTTTGAAATATTCCAAAAATTTGAAAATGTTCCAATTTTAATTCATGGAAATTAAGAACAGTTTCACTGCAAGTAATGTTCATTTAGTGTTATTAGTTGTAATTTGGCACGGACGTAAATGGTTTATTATTAGTAATGTAGCTGCAGCATGGCTCTACCATGTATAAAAAAATGAATTATGAAATACTGGTTGAATCCGGTGGATCGATCCTCTTTCGCCTACATACATAAAAAACATACGCGTCCAATACAGAACCTTCTTGACTTTGAGCTCTGTTAAAGTATACTTATAAGCTTATTTCGACTTATTTTGTATTTTAATGCTATTTTGTTACCTTTTATATAAAAGTTCGTGCATTCACATAAACACAAAATCATTGCGGAGTTGTTTCACGGGCGACGCGCAATCAAAAACACATAGCGTGAAATAGCACTGCGACGCCCCTCGCCGCCGTTGCTGAAATTAAATGTTACAATTGCTACGTGCTACGTCACGGCTAGTATATCGATACTTGGCTCTTTTTTGTTCTTGGTTTACATAAATGATTATGCACATAAATTATAAAACAACTTGCATGTATGGTACAAAAATATCTGAGAGCTCTATAGAAAGATCCTCATTGAGATATACTCTGTTATTTAAAGTTAAAGAAGAAGCAAAATTCTGTTAAAATAATATAAAATATATATTGAGTCAGTGATGTGAGAAAATAACGTCTAATACTGATATATTGATGATATAGACTTTATTTTTTTTTAATATACGAGGTTGTAACATGGTCTCTTGTTTTTCAATTCGGCCTACTATATTCGGCCAGCCTAAATTGAGCAAAGAATTTTAAATTTGATGCTTTTCGTCGTCGGTCTATGTATATTATGTTACTCGTATAAATAGTATATTATACTAGATAAACCGTTAATGATATAAGATAATGAAACTGAAGTAATTTCGTATTCATACCGTTGTGCCTAGAAATTACAGTAATCCTGGTAATCCCTTCGGTATCAGACGTCTGTCTGCCCAATAAGACCGTTTAAACTCTTAATTTCCCAAATTCAATCTCGTCGTAATTGGTCTCTGAAATTAATAGAATAGAATAGAATATTTTTTATTCAATATTGGTTACAAGTAATTCTTAATGAGTCATTTTTTTACTTTACCACTGGTTCGAAAAACATCCTATGTCCTTTCACAAGTCTACTGCTGAACATAGGCCTCCCCCAAGGAATGCCACAAAGCACGGTCCTAAGCCACCTGCATCCATCGATTTCCTGCATGTCTTATTAGGTCATCACTCCATCTAGTTTCGCCCTACACTTCGCCTACCGGTACGAGGCTGCCTCTCGAGAACCTTTCTTCCCGATCGGTTATCGGTTCTTCGAGCTATATGGCC